TGGCCTGCTGTGTTCATCCAGCTCCACACCTTGTTATCTCATACTCCAGCATCGGCAGTTCCTACTATCTCTTGCAGGTTTAAAACATGCTCCATGATACCAGATATCAAGTCCACATCACTTCTGCAACTAAAAATCCATTAGGACTGTTAGGCAACAAAACATTGAGCATCAATTCCTTCCTGCATTGACAACCTCATGCAGTATAGCTCCAATGAGTGCCTGGTATCCTCACTACCTGCATGTTACATGCTGACTTTGAAACTTAGCAGCCAACTTGCTCAGTATTCTGATGAAAGAGCACCGACCTGAATCATTAACACTATTTCTCTTCACAGATGGTGCCTGACCCACGCAGTTTCTCCAGCATTCTCTGTGCTTTTTTCAGAATGCCAGCATCTGCAGTATTTTGCTTTTATTCGAACGCTGGCCAGGACACTTATAAGACAATATGAATACACCTCTTTTATGCGGACATTTGAAATCCAAAGTGCATGTAAATATTTATATCCCAAATTAAATGATAAGCATTCCAATGAAAAAGCAGTGAAGTTTGACAAGCTACAAGAATGTGCTGTGTTACTGCATGATGAGAGCTCGGAAAACAGGCTGCCTGTCTGTGATGTGAGATTTATAATGAAATTAGTGCAGCCTCTCTAGGAACAAACCAGTCACAAATCTCCCAAGTTTATAAGCAGAAAATTTATTTCAAAACTAAAGTAAACCCTTTGGTGATTTATTTGGAGACTGTAATAAATTTAATCAACATCCTGACTTAATCCTGCCACAGTTTTTGTTTGTATGCGTAGCCTGGAAACAGTTTTTGCTTTTAAAAAGTACATCCTTTGTTTCCACTTAGAGAATTCTCTCACCCTTTTCCCTCTGAGGGTGTGCGCTTGGCTCAGTATCTCCACTAGTATTACCATAGAAAGAAAAACTTGTATTTCTATACAGCTTTTCATGGCCTCACAGCCAATGAAGCACTTGTTGAAGTAGAGTCATTATATTTTAGGAATGAGACTGGGCACTTTCAACTTGGGTCAATGCACTGAAAAACAGCTCATAAAATTATAGAAACCTTACAGTGCAGATAGAAGCCATTTGGCCCATATAGTCTGCACCGAGCCTCCAAATAGCATCCCACCAGACCCACCCTAACCCCATAACCCCGCATTTACTATGGCAAACCCACCTAGCCTGTATCTGTCTACTGGGACCCTACTGGCAATTTAGCATGGCCAATCCACCTAATCTGCACATCTTTGGACTGTTAGAAGAAACTACAGTACCCTGCAGAAACCCACGCAGAAATGAGGAAAACATGCAAACTCCACACAGGCAGTCGCCCAAGGCTGGAATGGAATCTGAATCCCAAGAGCTGTGAGGCAGCAGTGCTAACCACTGTGCCACCATGCTGCCGTAATGGATACTAATTAGACCTCTCAGGATATAATCAGCTCATTGCTATACGATTTGGAGATTAAATCAGCAAGTGTTCATCTTGTTGGCGCAACACAAGCTAAGCATGAACACAGCAACAGAGAACAGTGGGTGTGAGCCTTTTATGCAATTGTTAGGTGTTGCCATTGGTTCAGTGGCAGAATTCTCAATTCTCCCTCGACCAAAATCACCAAAACAGATTATCTTATTGCTGTTTGCAGGAGATTGCTGCACACAAACTTGACTGCCATATGTTTCCTGCATTACAACAATGAGATATTTCTGAAGTGCTTCGATATCCACTGAGGCTGTGAAAGGTGCAGAGTAACAAGTTCTTTCTTTCTTGTGGTTACATGCAGAAAGACAGAAATACCAACCAGATTCACACATTGACAAACAGCAAAATCTCCTGGGAAAGCGATGATACAGTGAATGACTTCCCTAGTCCCAGTTAGCCTTGTTTGAAAAACTGCTGATTCTATCATACAATCAACCATAGGACAATGCGAGTTCAGGCAAAATGTGGATTTTCATTGCTCAGAATGGGAGCATAGTTCCTTAATGGATTGTTAACCTCAACATCAGACTATAATGGCTTCCCTAGCCATGCAAAAATAAAAAAAAGTAGACAAATTACACTCTGAATATTGGATTTCTGTTTTTCTACAGAAATGTTGTTAGTTTCACTTCACAACATGTGAGTTTATAAAATGAAGTTTATGCTGGGGAAGGATCACTAATGTTATCAATAGTAACACAAGAGACTGAGTACAGTTGGCAAAAGTTCACCTGATTAAATGACTGTCAAAATAAAGGGGAATTTTATCTGTTACCTTGTCAGATATTCAAGTGCAAGGTCGGATGCTGATGGCTCCTGAGGTTTCACTTTTTCTACTAATACACCAGCTTCCCTTAGCAGCTGTTTATCTTTCTTTTTGCGCTCTTTCTTCAGTTTCCGTTCAATCTTTCTCTTTTCTTCTGCTGTGAGTTCCTCCTGCTCCTGCTGCATTGGCATTTCCATCCTTTCATCTTCAATATCCTGATGATCACAGAACAGTAGATTTAATTCAGAAAATGTCTGAATTATTTTAGGGGTAGCACTTAATAATCAGATTCTAACATAAATTAAGGTCGCTATAATTTGCCAATGGTCCTTCAACAGCAGCTTCCAATCTCGCAACCTCTTCCACTGAGAAGGTGTGGGCCAGCCGCCCCTTGGAAACATTAGCCCCTGTAATTGTATACCACTCCGACTTGCACATGCATCAACACCTCAAAATCCTGTCACTCCCTATTTAACAGCACTATGCAAGTGACTGCACAGGTTCAAGACAAAAGTTCAAAACCATCTTCCCAAGGGCAATAAGGGATGAGCAATAAATACCAGCTTTGCTAGCAAGACATATATCTCAAGGATAGTTACTAGGATAAAATACTATTAACACATCTCAATTATAATCTGCGGTGTTTCGACTGTCAGTTGCTACTTCTGGTACAATTCTTCTTTTTCATAGAATCTCACACAGCACAGAAGAGGCTATTCAGCCCATTCAGTCTGTACTGACCTACCTACAGTAATCTCACTGTCCAGCACTTGGTCCAAGGTCTTGAATGTTGTTACATTTCAAATGTTCATCCACATAATTTTTATAGGTTGTGAAGTTTCCTCCTTTACTACTCTCCCAAATAGTGTATCACAGATTCTTCCAACCCTCTGGGTGAAAACATTTTCCTCAAATCCCCTCTAAACCTCCTCTGTTTCACTTTAAAATTATGCCCCCTCATTATTGACCCTTAACTAAAGGGAACTGCTGCTTCCTGTCCATGCTCCTTAAAGTCTTATATATCTCAATTGGGTCTCCCCCTCAACCTTCTCTGCTCTAAAGAAAACAACATGAGCCTGTCCATCCTCTCTTCATAGCTAAAATGCTCCATGCTAGGCAACACCCTGGTGAATCTCTTCTGCACCAGTGTGATCATATCCTTCCTATTCTGTAGTGACCTGAACTGCACACACTACTCCAGCTATGGCCTAACCAAATTCTTGAAGAACTCCAATATAACCTCCCTGCTCTTATAATCTAATCCATGACTGATAAAGGCAAGTGTCCCGTTTCTTAGCCACCCTATTAACCTGTATGCCACCTTCAGAGATCTGCAGACAGGCACACCAAGAACCATCTGTTCCTTCATTGAGTACTCCATTGCATTGTTACTTCTTCCAAAGTGCATCACCTCACAATGTTCAGATTTCAATTCCATCTGTCCATCTGACCAACCCATCTATATCATTCTGTAACCGATGACCTTTTTCCTCACTATTAACAACTCAGCCAATTTTCATGTCTTCTTTGAACTTACTCATCACACTCCCCCCAAATTCTTATCTATATTGTTTGTATTAATTATGACTTAGGTATTCAAAGATCCAGCACTGGTCCCTATGGTACACTGCTGCACACAGGGCTCCAATCACACAAATAGCCTTCTACCATAGAGTTGTACAGCATGGAAACTGCTCCTACTGTCCAACTCATCCATGCTGACCAAATATCCTGAATTAATCTGGTCCCATTTACCAGCATTTGGCCCATATCCCTCTAAACCCTTCCTATTCGTATACCCATCCAGATGCCTTTTAAATGTTGTGATTGTACCAGCCTCCACCACATCCTCTGGCAGCTCATTTCATACACGCACCACTTCTGACTCCTAACCCTAAGCCAATTTTGGGTCCACCTTCCCAAGTTACCCTGAATCCCATGTGCTTTTACCTTTTTTAATCAGTCTCCCATGTGGGATCTTGTCATAGGCTTTGCTGAAATCCATATAAACTGCATCAACACATCAACTGCACTACCCTTAGCAACACACCTGATCAACTCTTCGAAAATTCAATCAAGTTTCTTAGTCATGACCTTCCTCTAACAAAGCCTTGCTGACTATGCCTGAACAAACCCAGCCTCTATAAGTGGAGATTAATCCTCTCCTTCAGAATTTTCTCCAATAGTTTCCCTACCACTAATGAGACTCACTGGTCTGTAGTTCCCTGGTTTATTGCTACCACCCTTTTTGAAACACAGAACCACAATAGCTGTCCTCCAGTCATCTGGCACCTCTCCTATGGCCAGAGAGGCAATTAAAATTTAGGTCAAAGCTTCTGTAATTTCCTCCTTTGTCTCCCACTGCAGCCTGGGATACAACTCATCTGGACCTGGGGATCTGTCTACTTTTAAGCTTACTAAAACCTCCATTGGCTTCTCACTCCCTAAGTTAATCTGCTCAAAAACCTGACAGTCTCTCTCCTCAAATTCTGTACCTACAGCATCCTTCTCCTGAATGGAGACAGAAATGGGCAGCACAATGGCTCAGTGGTGAGCACTACTCTGTCACAGCACCTGGGACCCAGGTTCGATTCCACCCTCGGGCAACTGTCTGTGTGGTATTTGCACATTCTCCCCGTGTCTGTGCGGGTTTCTTCCGGGTTCTCCAGTTTTCTCCCACGGTCCAAAGATGTGCCGGTTAGGTGGATTGGCCATGCTATATTGCCCCATAGTGTTCCAGGATGTGCACACGAGGTAAATTAGCCAGAGGTATAGGGTAGGGGGTAGGTCTGGGTGGCATGCTCTTCAGAGAGTCAGTGTGGATTTGATGAGCCAAATGGCCTGGTTCCACACATAAGGATTCTATGTTTCTATTGGAAGTGAAGCACTCAATTAACATTCTACCAACGTCCTCCAGCTCCATACACAGATTGCCCTTTTGGTCCCTAATATCCCCTACTCTTTCCCTGATTACCCTCTTCCCTTTCATATAGTTACAGAATATCTTGAGATTCTCCCTAATTTTGCCTGTCAGTGTTTTAATGCCCGACTTTGTTCTCCTAATTGCTTTTTTTAAGTTCCCCCAGCACTTTCTATACTCTACTAGGGTTTCAATTGACTTCTTCCCTTTGCAACTGCTAGAAGTCTGTCTTTCCCTTCGTATCCAGTCATGAATATTCCTAGGCATCGAGAGTTCTCTGGGCCTGTTGCTCCTGCATTTCACCTAAAGCGAACATATTGAATCAGTACCCTCCCCATTTCCTTTCTGAACACCCCCACTGTTCTATTGTAGATTGGTCCACAAGTAGCTGTTCCAAGTCTATTTTGACCAGATCCTGCCTCATTTTAACTAAACCTGCCTTCCCAATTGAAAATCATTTTTTTTTGCAGGCCATCCTATTTCATTTCCACAACAAACTTAAATCATACTGTATAATGGTTGTTATTCCCAAAATTGTCCCATACTGCCCCCACCCAACCACCTGTCTGACTTCGCTCCCCAGAATCAGGTCCAGCACTGCACCCTCTCTTGTTGGACCTTTTACATGTTGACATAAAGAGTTTTCCTGAATTCATTACAAGAAATCTGCCCCCTTTGAATCTTTTGTGACGATACCATTGCTTTAAGAAGTGTATTTCATCCTGGTTTTTTTTTTCAGGAAGAAAGGTTGAGACAGAGGTGTCAAGCAGTCTGCTCAAAGCCAATAAAGCAAACAGCTTGTGAAGCCTTAGGGTTTTTTTTTTAAGTTGGAACAACAGAAGCAGCCTGAATAGGTGGGGTCAAGCTCCCACAGAACCAAGATTTTTAGCTTTAGCTTTCAGTAGTTGCTGGGGTCTTGAAGCTAGATGTGAAAGCTCTTATTCCTCTGTTTGTCACAGCAAAGAGCTGGGGCAGTCTTCCTGCTATTAGAATTGCATTTAAAACAGTCTGTTTTACTGAATATGCCATTGCCAAGAGTGTATTTATGGCATGTTACCATACTGGAACAGTTAATTAGTAGTTAATATATATACTATTTTATTAAGCATTTCAATAGAGTTACAGTAAAGCCAAATCTATTTGTTTATTTTTATTTTGTCTGTATTTTAATTGTAGTGTAAAAATAAAGCGTGTTTCGCTTAAAGTCCAATCAAATTACATCTGGAATGCAAGGCCTTACACTTAACTTTAAAATAAGAAAAAGTTAAGGTCTAGTATATCTTCTTAATATATTTTGAGGGAGTTTGGTCTAGTCCATAACATTTTGCACTTTGACTATTCTAATTAATGTTGAGGGTGTTCAAAATCCCCTAATATAATTAACCTAGTACTGTTATATCACAGAGTATTGTTTGCATATCTGCTCCTCTATTGCCCCGGTTTGCAGGTCTACTAAACACTCCCAGCAATGTGACTGCCCCTTTTTATTCCTAAACTCTGTGCACAAAGCCACATTTGTAGGTTCTTCCAAGATATCATCCCTCCTTTTCTGTAGCAACTGACTTCTTAATTAATACTGCAACATCACTTCCTCTTCTGCACCCTCGCATCTTACCGGAAGATTCTATTCCCTGGAACATTGAGTCCTGCCACTTCTTCAACCACATCTCTGTGATGGCAACAATATCATAGTTTCATGTGTCAATCCAGGCCCTTAACTCATCTGTCTTACCTATAATAAAGGTAAGGTAAAGTCACCAGAGTCTTACCAGACCATAGGGCTGCTCTCTCATCAGAGAGGGATGGCAGGTGGTGGTTTAACCTGAGAGCCACCATGTCTCAGGCAAGGGGGGAGGTTGAGAAGGGGAGTCCTTCATGGTAACCTGAGCTGGTGAATCCACACTCTTGGCATCACTCTGCATTGCAAACCAGCTGTCTAGCAACTCAGCTAGTCCTAGCAGTAAAGTAGAGGCCACCCACCCTCACCTTACATCATTGAATCTCAACAAAATTGAACTCACTCTTGCCCTGGTTCCTTTCCTGTATTATGCTGTGTGCCTATACACATTTGGTGTCTCCTCCCTTTGAAAACTAGTTTAAACGCCTCCCTGCAGCACTGATCCATCCTGTTCTGTTCAGGTACAGTCTGTCCCACCTGTACAGGTCACACCTTCCCCATAAACAGTCCCAGTAATCCAGGAATCTAAAATCCTCCCTGTTGCACCATGCTTTGAGCCACGCATTCATCAAATTGTGTCAAACAACCTTGAATAATACACAAATGACAACTCATTC